AATTAAAATAAAAACATTTGTAATAACTGTATCAAAGATTCAAGGGGCTTTTGACATAGCCTCAGTTATACATTATCTACTCTAAAACCTGAAACTTTGCAGCTAACAGAGTTGGATTCTATTCACAATCTCTTTAAAACATAAACTTTAATGAGTAATATTATAAAACAAGACATGACCCATGATTTCAGCATGGCATAGTAGAAAACAGAATTCTATGAGCTTGAAATAACCTGTGAGAAAAGAAAGTTGCATTCATTTGCATTTGTAGATATGGAAAGAAGAAATAAAAGTCTTAGGAGATCCCAAAACCAAAAAAGAGAGAGAGAGAGAGAGAGAGAGAGAGAGAGAGAGAGAGAGAGAGAGAGAGAGAGAGAGAGAAAGAAAGAGATTCTATCAGGGCTGGAGCTACAGTACACTCACCTTGCACATGGCTGAGTAGGGTGTGATCCTTGACATCCTGTATGGTACTCTGAGACCACCAGTAGTGATCCCTGAGCACAGAGCCAGGAGTAAGCCCGGAGCACCGATGGATATAACCCAATATCCCAAAAAGAATAAACAAAGAGATTCCATCAAAACAGGAGAGTAGAGACCAATTCATCAGACATAGTGATTCTCAGAAAGAGAATTTCAACTCTAATTGACAAAATACATGTGCTAAGAAAAACAATTCCCCTTGAACATATACTTCTTTCATCACCACAAATCTGTGACTGCCAAAGAGATTTTGCACGTTTAATTAGGGTTAAGAATTTGAAATAGGAGAGATTATCCTGGATAACCTGAGAGACCCACTGTGAATACATTTGTCCACAGCGTTTAATAGCTATTTATTTAATTTATCATTATTTGATTATTTTTGGGCCAAAATAACAAAAATTCTCCCCTGAGCAGATGATCTCCAAGACATGCTATTTTGCCCTCCTGCTCTTTAGAAAAAGATAAGGGAAATATTCCCACTACTTCCAACCATCCCTTCCCAGACAGGTTTTCTGGTTTCCGTGCTAAATTTAGTTCTTAACCTCTTTGGGCTGGTTTCTGCAAAACATTGCATTAGGTTTTTATGTAAATTTCAGATGTGCACTGGTGAAAAATAGAATGAGCATATGCTACATTAATTTTACCACCAAAAGTCCAGTTGTATCTTTCTTTTTATTTTTATCTCTTCTGACCTTGTTTACCCAGTCCTTTTCCTTCTTCCACTATGGTAGTCAGCAATAAATTTTGTAGTCTAAAAGCTCATTTTTGTTTTACCTAATCTATCTACTTTTTTGTATCTACTTATGCTGTATATAAATAAAATCATATTATTATTTGACTTTCTCTCCTTTTTTCCACTTATTAGCCTAGAGGTCCATCCATGTTATTGTAAATGGTGGGATTTTATATTTTGAGCAGTTTTATTATTGAGCAGTATTCCATTGTGTGTATCACTGTCTTCCCGTTGTTCATTGATTTGCTCGAGCAGGCCCAGTAACATCTCCATTTTGAGACTTGTTGTTACTGTGTTTGGCATATTGAATACTCTCGGTAGCTTTCCGGGCTCTTCGAGAGGGGCGGAGGAATCGAACCCAGCTCGACCGGGCTGGCTGCGTCCAAGGCAAACGCTCTACTGCTGTACTATCACTCCAGCCATGTATACACTGTGTTTATTTAGTGGTTGGTGGATATTTTGGTTGTTTTTAGTTCTTTTTATGAGGGGGTGAAAATTCGTCACACTGGGAAACGCTCAGGATTACTCCTGGCTCTGTGTTCAGGACTAATCCTGAACTCTTGGAGATACATACAGGGTGGCGAGGGCATATGTGGTTTGAAAGTGATGAAAGGAATTTGATTCTGGGAAGGCCTACTACAAGACAGATGCCATATCTCTGGTGCTATCTTTCCAGCCTCTGTTTCCAGCTCTTTAATTTCTAGATAATTTTGAAAGAAATGTGGGATTGCTTATAATTATTTAATTACTTTTGTAAGGTAAAGGTAAAGGTAAAGGCCCTCCCGTTGTTCATCGATTTGCTCGAGCGGGCCCAGTAACGTCTCCATTGGAGATTTTGTTGTTACCGTGTTTGGCATATCGAATACATCACGGGTGGCTTGCCAGGCTCTGCCATGCGGGCGAGATACTCTCGGTAGCTTGCCGGGCTCTCCGAGAGGGGCGGAGGAATCGAATTCGGGTCGGCCATGTTGGCTGCATGCAAGGCAAACGCCCTACCGCTGTACTATCGCTCCAGTAAATACAAAAGTATTTACAAAAAAAAGTGGGATACGTGAATCTTATGAAATTCTCTTTTTAATATTTTGAGGAATAAGGCTACTGATTTCCATAATACCAGATCAATTTACATTCTCAATCAACATCTTAATACTAGTTATTTTTGTAAGGACACAGTAAGAGATACATTGAGGCCTATAGGGTAGCTCTCCTGGGAACATCTTGCCACAGACTCAGACTACAGTGCTCAGGCCAGATTAATCATTCTTAACCCTAGCAGGGTTCGACTCTAATTATTACTTTTTCGATCATGACAGAATTTGCCCCTGACCATGCGCTTAATTTATAGTTAGGCATTTGGCACCATGGCCAGGCCCATCTCGATGCCAGGATAGCACATAGCTCACGTGCTTGCCCTGGATCCATCCAGTCCCTCACCGGGACCCTGCTTTTGGGGATGTTAGAAGTAAGAGCAACTGAGGCTTAAGTTGAGAGAACAGATGCCCAGGAGTTAAATATCATTGAGTCAATTAACTTCTACCCTACAAAAGCATAGCATTTGCTGTCTTCTTGTGTCCATACAAAAAGGACATTGCTCTGAATTAATTAACTATGCAAAGGACTTAAGGAGAAGAGAAAAACAATATTTACAAGTTAACAGAGCAAAAAGAAAGAAGTTACAAATAACAGAGAAATGGGAGCACTGTGTTGGGAGTAACCCAATAAACCTAAATTACCTGAGGCTATGCAAGAAGAACAAATCAATGTTATCCTACAGATGCACAATGAAGTAAAACAGGGTTTTTACAAGCTTCTCCCCTGACACCATTGTGGGACTTTCTAGCTAGATAAGAGTTCACAGCTAGGATTGTTGTTAAGTGTGTAAAGTTGGGAGTGGGCTTCTTTGAAACTCCTTTTCTTGACCTTTGTTCCTGATGGAATTTTTTTCTGTGAAGGTGGGTTCAGCCTTTTCTGGTCTGGGTTAGCTGAGGGTTAATCAGATTCAAGGAAGGAATTGAAGTTTCTCGAGTAATTTCCTCCAGGTCCTCTCTGTAGGAAGGGATCCAGTCTGCAGTGTCTGTTGCTGGAGAAGGTCTTATCAGGTCTTGCTTTCTGTATCCACAAGGTGGGTCAGACTTAGGACCAGTGGCTTTCTTATTTCCCTGAAATTTCATTGCCATGATGGGGTGGATGTGGGGGTGTCTTCCATAATCTACCTGCCTACAGCAATCTCAGTGTAAGAAATAAATTTTAACAAAAATACACTTTTAAACTTTAACACTTTATTGCAGTATCTTGTTGTAGTTTAATATACTAATATAAGAAATATCTTGAATGGTGTTATAAAGAAAACCAAATGAATAAACTCTAGTACGTCCATACTATAGAGTAGTCATAGATGCTATAAAATAATAATAAAGTTTGCTGTGATAAGAAATAGAATGTTTTTCAGGAAACAAAAAATTTATTTATACTATGTTAAAGTTTGGTAAAGGAAAGGATGAAAATATTATGCACACATTTGTGTATTTTACAAAAAGATTCACAAGAAGGGAACATTGAATTAAAATTAACTTATCAACTTAAAAGTAAGGATGGTAATGAGGTAGAAAGTACAGCATGAGAATGGCAATTTTCTTTTCTTTACATTTTTTTAATATTTATTTTTATTTAGTCACTATGAAGTTACAGAGTTATTTATGACTGAGTTTCAGGAATACAAAGTTTCAATGTTGATTTCTTCACCAGTGTCCCATTTCCCTGCACCAATCACTCAGTCCATTTGCTTCCCACCCATCAGTCAGCTTCGTTTAGTTTCAACAATGAATCTTTACCATGAGAAAGGCTGCAGGAAGGACATAAATAATGAGATTCAGTCTTATCAGGAATAGTAAAGATGGGAAGAGACAGGAAAAGAAATTTGGTAGAGAGAAGTTGACACTGGTAGTGGACTCTATGATGAAACATTGTATGACTAAAACTGAACTATGAATCATTTTGTAAATCATGGTGTCTTAATAAAATAAAATTTGGGGGAAAAATTTAGAGAGGTAGAATAAATTAGGTCGCCTTAACAATCAACAGAATGACTATTTTTATTCTAGAAACACTGATGAAATAATTTGAATAATGATTATAATCACCTCGCCTTTGAAATATTTTTCTTGAAATAGGAAGGAATATGAAGTATTGCCCATAAATAATAGCTTTATCTAATGCTGATTCATCCTTACTGTGTGTCTTTGGTTTGGGTATTCTTAGTTACATAGGTGATACTGAGGTAGGTTCATATACTTGTATTACTTAACAAAAAAATTCCTTTTGATAACTGGCTGCTATAGCACAGCGGGTAGGGCGTTCACCTTACACACGGCCAACATGGCCGACCCGAGTTCAATTCCTCCGCCCCTCTCTGAGAGCCCGGCAAGCTACCGAGAGTATTCGATATGCCAGACACAATAAAACAAAGTCTCCAATGGAGACGTTACTGGGCCCGCTCGAGCAAATCGATGATCAACGGGAGGGCCTTTACCTTACCTTTACCTTTTGATAACTCAGTGAAAGTTATGTGAACATTAGAGAGGATAAAATCATAATAAGGGAATAAACTTCAAAGACAAAAGCAAGCAAAGGGATGAGATGGAAAGGAAAAGGAAATAAGTAAAATGAGTTGTTCCATTAATATGCATAGTTGAATTTCCTTTACTCTTAAAAATTTTAAGTCAGTGCACAATACATTATGCACATTAATATCAGTTTACTTTGATTCATAAAGTTGATTGTACAGAGAATAGCACTCATCTTATTTTGATTTGCGTGTCATCCTTGCGCAGGGGCCATGCTAATCTTCTCTGTATGGTTCCAATTTTAGTATATGTGCTGCCGAAGCAGAGCGATAGCACAGCGGGTAGGGCGTTCGCCTTACACACGGCCAACATGGCCGACCCGAGTTCGATTCCTCCGCCCCTCTCGGAGAGCCCGGCAAGCTACCGAGAGTATTCGATATGCCAGACACAGTAACAACAAAGTCTCCAATGGAGACGTTACTGGGCCCGCTAGAGCAAATCGATGATCAACGGGAGGGCCTTTACCTTTACCTTTTTTATTTTGATTTATCAGCGTTTTGGTATTTGCTTGGTGGGGAGTTCAAATACCAGTGCAATGAACCAAGCCTGAGAGCTCTGCTGTTTGGATCTTCAGCAAGAAGTGCCTGGAAGATGGTTTTTTGTTTTTAAAAAAGTGTAACATGTGAAGAAATCATGTAAATATTGAAAACTGTGGTTAATTATGTTGTTACCAATTTTTTGTTGTTGTTTACTTTCCACCAAAATATCTTTACTGATATGGGCTTTGGTGTCTTTATTGTCTAAGTTTGTGCTGGTCATTTATTTCTATAGAATTAATATTAAGTAATAAAGAGCTTGAAGATTGGACATGCTTAAAAATTAAATAGACAGTTTCAGTTTATCTATGTCAACAACTATTCCATACCTTGTGTGTAAGCACTTGAGTTTCTTTACTGGACAAAGTAATACTTGATTTTTCATTAAATTTTGAACTGTATCATTTAATCATACTATTAAAACAATTATAGTCTCAGACACTTAAATCTTAATATATTTTCTATGAAAATTTATTTTTTATTACAAGGAAATTATAAAAAAATCAAATAAAAGTCTTATTTGACTAACAGGATATTTAAAACTTCAATGAAACAAGCAAGTATTTCTAATGATCAAATCTTCATTGATTTTTCTGTAGGAGAATTTTAGTTTTCGGAGTTAAAAAAGAAAAAGATTTCTTACAATTTTCAAATTGTCTTTAGGCTATTTTTTTTGCTTATTTTTTTTGTGACTCTACTGTGTAGAAAATGTAATTTTGTCCTATTGTGTGTTTATCAGTAAAATGGAGAAAAAGCTATTTGTGGAAAGTTTAGCTTTGCTGGTTATAAATGCATATTTTCATATCAAAATGCTTCAAGTAAAAGACCAGGAATTTAATGCAGGGCACCTTACATCTCTTCATCCCTGTCACTACATGACCTTCTGAGCATTATGCCATTATAGTTCTGAGGTCCACCATTAGTCCTGGTGGTTCCTAGCACTCGAGGCCTGAAAAGCATTATTGAGTTTTAGCACTCAAATACTAGTTGGGCTACAATAGTATCACAGGGAGTGGTCCATGTGCTCCCTGATCATTGCTTTAAATGATTAAAAAGGAAAGAAGTTCTGCCTACATTTTCCTCAGTGTACCTTGTAGTTTCTGGTCAGATTTTCAGATCTTTCTTCCACTTTGAATTGATTTTTGTGTGATATGTAAGATATGGATCCAGCTTTGGTTTCTTATGTGTAGTTACCCAATTTTCCCATTACTGTTTGTTGGAGAGACTGTCTTTACTTTCTTTCATGTTCTCAGCTCCTTTATTGAAAATTAACTGCCCAATATTTATGGGGTTTTATCATAAGGTATTTGATTCCGACCCATTGATCAAAGGATCTGTCTTTATCCCAGGACCATGCAGTTTTCAAAACATGAGATCTAAGTGGCAACCACTGAAACTTTGTAATGTGACTGTCAAATTGACAGGTGGGATTGGAGTGGAGTTGGAATGGGGAGGAAATCTGGGAAAACACTGTTGGAGGGTTGTTGGCACTGGTGGAGGGATTGGTATTGAATTATTGTATGCTTAAAATACAACTATCTGTAACGTTGTAAATCATGGTTCTTTAATAAAAATGTTTTTTAAAATGACAAAAGAAAGCAGGAGATCATGGAGTGCTTCAAATACATAGGAGAAATCCATTGAGTTCCACTGTCTGTGATGACCATGGAGGGGAAAAAAATAAACCCCACACTGCCTATAAGTGGTTTAGGGTTAAGGGGAGACCGCATGACTTACTAGGGACAGTAGAGCAGGTTAAAACTTGATGTGATTTTCTCTTTGAGTTCGCCTGACTTTTCCTTTTATTGTTTTTTGAGGGGGTGCTCTATTTTATTTTTTTTGCTTTTTGGGTCACACTCGGCAATGCACTGGGGTTACTCCTGGCTCTGCACTCTGCACTCAGGAATTACTCCTGGTGGTGCTCAGGGGACCATATGGAATGCTGGAAATCGAACCCGGGTCGGCCGTGGGCAAGGCAAACCCCCTACCCGCTGTGCTACCACTCCAACCTGAGGGGGTGCTCTTAAATGCTGAGGGCTACTTGGGGACATTCTCTCCAGTACTCAGCAGCCTGGCTATGGAGTGCTGGTATGACGGGGCAGTGATTTGCTTGATGTTGCAGCTCCAGGTTTCTTTCTTGCTGCTCCTGAAACACTTCAGTTTGAGTGAACAAGCCTCCTGGGAGACCAGAGACAACAGTGCAAAGAAACTAGTGGATCTGACTATCCCAAGAGTTGATGTAAACTAACCAGCTTCAGGCACCCTACTAGCTGAACATAAAACAAAGTGAAGCAGTCTGCAGAAATCAGTCTGCTGCAGATCAGAAGTACCTAGCTGATTACAACTTAAATTGCTAATATGTAAACATTTGTGTTCAAATAACTTTTTATAACTTCCAATTTTGGGAGATAATCTATTAGATAAAAAACAATTAATTGAACCCATTACGAATCAATTATTTCTTCTTTGGAGCCATAGCACAGCGGGTATGGCGTTTGCCTTGCACTCGGCCAACCAGGCTCACCCGAGTTGGATCCGTCCACCCCTCTTGGAGAGCCCGGCAAGCTACCTAGAGTATCTTGCCCATAGGGCAAAGCCTGGCAAGCTACCAGTGACATATTCGATATGCCAAACACAGTAACAATTGTCACAATGGAGACGTTATGGGCCTGCTAGAGCATATCAATGAACAATGGGAGGAATGTGCTACAGTGCAGTGCTAATTTTTTGAGAACTACAAATGTCATATAATTCTCTTACTCTTGGCTATTTCTTCAGTTTCTTGCTCATTATAATTTTTTTTTTCTGGGTGAATGAAGCATTGGGCCAGTCTGATAGTGCTCAGAGGAAACCCTTGGCTCTCTGCTCAGGAGTGACCTCTGCAGGTGCTTGGGAAATCATATAGATTTGGGGTGGCAGATATCAAATTGGGCTCAGTTACATGCCAGGCAAGAGCTTTGCCCTCGGTACTATTTTGTGGATAAACACATTATAATATTAAACTTAGTATTCTAGAATTTTTGTGTTAGATTCCAAAGTATTAGCATAATCTCAGTATCATCCATTGTATTAAATCCATTATGTCCATTATATAGTTAAAACTTGGGCTGGAGCGATAGCACAGCGGTAGGGCGTTTGCCTTGCACCCAACCAGCCTGGCCAAGCTGGGTTTGATTCCTCTGCCTCTCTCGGAGAGTCCGGCAAGCTACTGAGAGTATCTTGCCCACACAACAGAGCCTGGCAAGCTACCCGTGACATATTCAATATGCCAAACACAGTAACAACAAGTCTCAAAATGGTGACGTTACTGGGCCCGCTTGAGTAAATCGATGAACAACAGGAGGACAGTGACAGTTAAAACTAAAATTTAGAAAGAACTTTCTGCCAGCTTCACAAATCCAGTTCTTGGGCATTTGAATTCTATTTATCGACACTAAAATATGTACTTCATCCCAATAAGGACTTATTTTCTACACTAAGTTGAACATATTGGATATAAGTAAGTACTTACCCTATGTAAGTAACTGTGATTCTGTTGAGTGTTCTAATGTTATCCATTTTTTTTAGAAATAATCTTTGTAGAAGCTACTTGACATTTCCTAGTGAAACTTTTACTCAGAGCTATTGGAATGAGTCATGGCTGAGTTCATGAAGGTTGATGCTGAATGACAGGTTTTAAGGGATGTAAATTATTGTGTGTAAAAGAAAATAGAGAGTAGTAAGTCTATAGAAATTTATCATTCTATGAATTTCCCCTACTGGTTTTCATCTGAGAAGTCCTCAAACTCCTATTTCACTTATTTACTACAGTGCATCTCCAGAAGGATTCTGTATGTAATGCATTCCTACTGGAGAAACATGAGGACCATTTTAGATGAGATTAAAACTCAAACCCTGGCATACACACTCGTACACACACCACACCACACCACACCACAGCACACCACAGCACACCACATGACACCACACCACACCACACCACACCACACTTACTCACACATGTAGTACACAACCCTTGACCTCGAGAATCATGACCATCAATGGGCAAAGAGTGATATAATTGCAGGGAGAGATCTGTGATCTGGTAAATGATAAGTATCTGTGTGACGGGTAAATCTTTCAGGATATATTCATCCAATAGCCTTTGCCAGTAGACAACACACGCCTTCAAACGCTGATTATTTATATATTATTGATAGTCTAGAGAAGAAATAAGTATTTTAAGAAAGTAATCTGTGATACATTTTCTATTTATTCCTTGGATCTAACTTTTATCTGACTGAGGTCATCTCATCAGAAGACTATTTTTAAACATTATGCTGAATTGTCTTTACATAATTGTATCTTAATGTCTTATCCATTGAATTTTAGATGTCAAAGTAGGGCCTTATTCTAGCTCTGTTAAGTATTGACTGAGATTTTGGGAGAGTTATTGAAACCTTTTAAACTTTCACTTATTATATTGGGAAATGTCATAATAAATTGTTCAGAACTTTTTTGTGAGACTTCAATGATACTGGCATATAAAAATAATAGAATTCCTATGTCTTTGAAGAAAATAGAACTCTGATTCCTTTAAGAAATTTGCATTTAAAAAAAGCATACACAATTCCTTCTGGTGTATTCACTATAAAATCTGTTGTAAAATCTGCTGTCAAAGTCTTTGCCAGCATTCAATGATGACTATAAAGAATTCCATTTGTATTTTACAACCAGGTTAAAAAGAATT